TGAATTATATGTCTGTATCTGCAAATATTTGGTCCAGTAAAAGATATTTTGTCATTCCGAGAGGTCCAGACTATATTTTGAAAGTTTGTAATAGGAGCCATATGTATGGGTCAACACATGTTTACCAACCCTACTCAAAACATTCTCAAAACAATTGCCTCCTTATAGCTCAGTGGATCATGTATTAAACATTTGTCAAGTAAATTACAATGTTGTGGAAGATTCAATATTTATATTGGGTTTAAATCAAAGAATTATACACTCCCCTCCTCCTGACTGAAATTATTTACCTTCCACTACGAACAATATTGTCAGTAGATTTAGCCAATGTTTGAATTTATATTTCTGAATAATATAGTTTAAATAAATTTCTTGTACATATGTGGTTAAAAAAGGAAAGCCATCATATCCTTATAATATAATAATGACACAACATACATGTAGTATCCCATGGTACAGTATCATATCCTTATCATGCAACAATATCATATCCCTTATAACAAAGTCATATCCCGATAATAGAAAGGTGAGACAAAATCATATCGAATGGTCGGACATCACCATTCCTAAAAAAGAATGGTGGATACAACATTGCCCTATAAACTTTATAAACTAGTACTAGACATTTTGCAGGAGATGTTTTAAAATTATCAATGAAAACAACAAATCCGTGTCTGACAAAATGACAAGCACCCAAGTTCCTGTGCCTGGCAAAGTATGAATTTGTGCCTTACAATGTGTGACAGACGTCTTATTTCCAGGCTTGTAGGTTCGGGGGGATCCATATGGGGGAATGGAGGTGGGAGGTGGATCCGCTCCTCTTTTTCCTTCTTTTTACTGTTTTCCTTTATTATTTATTAAAATATAAAACCAGCTCAATTCCTACCCACCACATAACTAGATCAATTGAACTCTTTAACTTTGCCCTATTTGTAGAATTAACTTTTTATTTGTGAACTCAAGTAACCTAGGTAGCAATGTCATCATTTATTGAATAAGAGAGAAAATCTAATCAATCATACCCAATCACAAGACACAGCTACTGTTTTGAAGTTATATTTGAAGGGGATTTTGATCAATATTTGGATTCTATTGTACAACATAATGTTGTGAATACAAATACCACAGGCCTGACTGTTTTTATTTCATCAAAATAATGGCAAGATAAATAAACTATGATGGTGGCTTTGACAAGTTTTTTGAGAGGGTTTGTTTGTGTACAGATTAAACAATTGAACTTTAAAATGAAACTTTCTAAGTTAAAGTAAACAAACAATTTTATAAGTAGAGTGTTGTTACCCTAGACTACACTACTCATGTATAAAGATTTCAGGTTTAAACTTTAACTTTTCCAGTTCTAAAAGCCCTGATTGATATTAACACCATCTTTAAATAATGAGATGTAATTCTCAGTTCAAATAAACATGTATACAAAACATTGTATGGTTATTCTAAAATAATGAAAGATTCATGTTTTTTTGTAAAATGTGTATTCTAAAAAATTAATGGAAATCAAATATTTTGACAGCTGTGCATGTCAAACTGACACTTAAGAGACCCACGCTGAAGGACAAAATATAAATCAACACCACAATGGTTTTTATGCATCATGCTAAATATGACAAATGCTCAGGCAGGTTATGTAGTGAAATAAGAGATGATAGTTATACAGGACTATTTTTGGATATGATTCCTATTTATAGCCACTATATATAATATGCATGCTCGTATATGAATCAATTAAAGATACTTTCCCAGAAAAGTTTTTGTCGGGTGGTTATTTCCAATAAAAGTATGGCAAATTTGCTATATATATGAAAAGTATATATATAGACACCCAATTTTACTAGAAAAATACTGCATTACCCGAAAAATGCCCATGGGGCAAGCACTGGGCAAAATTGTCAGGGTATCACTAACTGGCAACCCGACTGTTGTCTGCTAGCTTATTGTGTGCACTGTGGCCTATTCTTATATTGAATTCCAACTGACAAAGGATCTTTTACATGCACGTCAATATATACACAGGACCTCGGTTTTTCGTCACATCTGAACAACTAGACAGCTGTCCTTGTCAGGCCCTTCGTCCTGTACCACTGACAAGGGGAAACCATGTTGGAAAATCCCAATGAACTTTCTGGGCCAGTGCAGGGATCGAACACGCAACCTCCAGGCTAGCGAGCCAGCGTCTTACCCACTTAGCCACCGTGGCTCTTTATGGGTTAGCAAGATTAAAATTACATTATGACATATAAGTGTATCTATACCAGGAAAGTGGTAACATGAAATATTTCCTGTCATGGTTGTCTGCCATAGGATTCAGCAAAAATATTATACATGTAGTAGTGGCTTTAACTTTCCCAAATCCCAAATGAATAATTCATATACCAGAACATTAAACCAATGACAATCCATAAATCATAAACTCTCCTCTAACAATAGATCTACATGTATATACAACAGGTACACCTTAATTATATATACACACATTTTTGTGAGATTTTTGTTCAAATTGACGAACCCCTCTTCATTAAAGGGCGTATGGCTCTATTTTGGAAATGGTTCTATAAGCACATATTAATATTAATGTAATATGAATGTATGTAAAGTGAATTATATTCAATTTTTGAAAAAAATATTGTAATTTCTAATCAATTATATTCGGTGAAATACGTGAACAGTTCAAATTGAACGGCAGTTGTTTACGCCTGCTTAGTCCATTCTACACGGTTTTCTATTATTACTATTTTGTCGTTTGTGAATCAGCCTTTACTAATTACTTCCACATTGTCTTTTAGGACAATATACGACGCATGTACTAATTATAAAATGTTCATTGTGTATTAAATATTAAATATTAGGATCCTATATTTTCACGTCAAGATAACAACATCAATATCGATTGGACCTATCAATATTGAATTCTAATTCATGTTTTTAATTTTGAATATTATGGAAAATGTTAGAGAGTTAGAGATTTAGCTCCTTTAATGTTGTTAATGTTGTTAAATATAGAAGACAATCTTTGTACACAGTGACTGTACGACTTTCAATGAATCAAATTTCTCCTTGACATTTACAAACAAACATAGTTTGTACTACTTGAAAAACATTTTTTGTCAGTGTACCCACATCACAAAGTTATTTTGATACAAATGAGGACCAATTATTTGTATGAAGAAACAAGGACCATATTGATTCATTAATCTTGCAGACATCATTTAAAAATGGTTTTCCTCAATTTTGTTTCCATTGAACAATGTCAATATTTTTAAATATATGTCACATTTCTAAAGTAATGGCAATGAGAATTATCTGTTATAATGAGCTAATATGGCCCACAACCATTGCTGAAATAAATGCAATAGTACTTGTAAGCTCAAATTTGTTTACCTATTTCGAAATGATTGCAAAAATTAACCCTTTAAAGGTGACAAGCGTCTTTGATTTAGGTAATAATTCAAAGTACTGGATTGGGTTGATCTGGTGTGTTCTTTTAAAGTTTTACATGTAGGCTGAAGTTGGCTTGTTTCTTGCTTTTAGTTTAATATTTGGCTGACTGTGGAAGACAAAGGCGCTTATATAGTGGTTCAAATTTAAACTATATGAAACTTTATGAAAATGGCAATTTTATTTTCTGTCATCATAAATTTTGTTTAACCCTATTGATTATTTCACTTGTTTTTCCCTTTTCAATTATTTTATTAATAGTGGAATAAATACTTCTCAAAATTCTCAAAGGACTACTTAGAATTTCCGATTAAAATCCTTGATTTAGTACATAAAATGTCAGTCAAATAGCTTTTAAAAATAGTGTCTGTTCTCAAGCAGAGCTAGTTGTAGACAGTATGCATTGATTACAATACATGTATGTACCTTTTCTTATCATCCAACCCAAATGACTTGATTATTTTCCTTTCCAGGCCCTGTACCACTGACAAGGGAAACCAAGATGGAAAATCCCATGGAATTTTCTGGGTCAAAATGAATAGATCTATCATTAATCTTCAATATCCATGCAGCCGCCTTACATGATATATACCATACTAGAATAATACAATGTTATAAAAAAAATACTTCCTTTTTCATGTTTTGGGGTTGCCTCTATTGTTGTGTACACATTTGATTTTCAATATATAGGCTACATTTTCATTTTGATAATTTGCCATAAATATTTTGTTGCATTGAACTGGTATAATAATGTGTAGCCAACTTCTAGTAACCTCAAGAATTGTATAATTATCTTTAACCATGAAGATGTTTTATAGTATATCTAGAGCTACTATTTATAACTTATATGTGGATTATGTATAATTATGGATAGAAATGATGTTTCAGACTTTCATACATGTCTTTATATAAAATGTACCAAAATGTTTTTGTTCATTTCTTATTTTTAGATCTGTCCCTATTATATGTGTAGTATTTACATGAATACTATTATGATTCATCTTAATGTATGTTTTTATTGTCAAGCCCCAAAACTTGTATTGTCAAGTGCCATAACTGTCATATTATTTTATTCATTTGAATGTGACTCATATGATTCAATAGATATTATGTAATGTTAACAAATAATATTCTAATAATCAGGACATAATATGATCATAAAACATTTAAAATTCAGGGTATATGAAGGAGGGTTGGATGGCTGAATGGTTAGCGTGCGCTCGCTGTATCATAAAGTCTGTCATTGAGTCGACTGGCGTGGTTTCGAATCCCCGGTTGTACGTGGCAAGGAGTAGGGTCGCCTGTCCAACCTCGTGGGTTTTCTCCGGGTCCTGCGGTTTCCTTCCACTGGTACTTTTCTATGTATGTAAAATATTTTTAATGCTGGGCTGAAAATTCACCAACTTTCAGATTAAAGATTATAATGTAATGTTCATGGATAAATTTTGAATCAAAAATCTATCCCACAATCAATCCTTGGGGGGCATATTTTGAGTAAGTGCATTTAGACCACCATAAATGTAGATAAGATATAAGTAAATCATACTTACATATATTGTCTTCACTTTTATTATTATCACTATCTGTTGAATCAGTAGAATTATCACTTTTAACTACTACATCCCCATTACTGTAATCCTCATCATCATCATCATCATCGTCATCATCATCATCTTTATCAACATTATTACCTGAACATTTATTCAATAAATCTATCTCTTTTATATTTTTAAAAACATCATGACTAAAACTAGTATTATTATCATCCACTACTTGGGTTTCATTATTGGATAAATCATCACATAATCCTGAATCTTTGCTACCGTGAGATGGCTTTTGAAAAAATGGCATGTTTTGGTACACATCATCATCATCCTCCTCACTAGCTGAATCACTTGTCTGTGTAACCACGGCATTAATAGTCCAATTCTCATAATTTGCCTGTTTCTCTTTCCTTCGTTTTGGTTTGTCTAAAGGTGGATTAACAGGTCGAACAATTAGTTTCGAAACATCAAATTCAAATGTACCTGAATTTGTATTTGATTTATTACTACCATTTGACAGACGTTTACTATTACATAGAGGATAATTAATATCTAAACTTGGCGTTAATCTTTTGTTTACACTTTCTGTGTCACTATTAGAATAGTTTTTACTGTCAATACTTTCAGTTGAACCCCTGAAATTGTCTGTTTCCTGGATTTTCCGATATGTTCCGGTCATGTTTTTACTCTGTCCTACATCTACACTACCGTCCACCACACGTTCACGTCTTGAGGAGTAAAATTTCTTCATACCCAAATCTGAATCAGTGTTCTCTGCTAGTGAATTACTTATCTGAAAACTTCTTACAATACTAGAAGCACACAAGTCTTTAACACCTTTTACCTTAGGTTCACTACTTTCATTCTGTGTTGATAAGATTGGCTTAAATGGATAATCCTTGCTGGTCGTTAATTCCACATTATCATAATTACTGGCAATTCTTGGCTTTATTACCAGTGCACTGATAGGTGAATATGAATTTTGACTAGGACAGCTATTATCTAATGTTCCGCTTGGTGAACATACATATAAGTCCCGCCCATTTTTTGTATTTGTTTGGATTTGTGTATCTTCTTTATCCGAGCTAGTATGTAAACAGAGGTTGCTCTCTTCTTCACTACTGTTATATGTTGGCTGTGTTTCTATACTGTGTTTTATATTACTGATGTCAAGTACTCGATTATCTTTTAGTATCTTTCTCCGGGGAAGGGGTACTGGCTTGTGGGCTTTCTTGATATCTTGTTGAACATCAAGCTTGGCTACTATGATATCCTTCTCAACATAACCTTCATTTACCTTTGACATATTGACCGATTCGTTAAAAATAACAGTGGACTGATTAAACTCACTGGGCTCTGTAAACAATGGCGCACTGTCACTCAGTGTTCTTTTAAGAACAACAGGACACTCATTTTCAATGTTTGTCTTTATCACACCAGGTTTAATGAAGGGGTAAGAGTTGTTTTCTCCTGAGTGCAACCAAACTCGTGTCGCATCCAAATCATCAAGTGAAGTATTTAGACAGCTAAGACTTCTTCTGGCATCAGAAAGCACAGATTTCCTTGACTTGGGTTTCAAACTCGAAGACTTAACTTTGACTATATTCCGGTCCGTAAACGTATTATTCAGCAACAGATCAGGTCTCTTTCCAATAAGTTTTGATCCGCATTCACTTTTGCCTAAATTATTTATGATTTTTTCAAGGCACTGTTTTATAAACACTTCTTGATCTAACGATTTTTCCAAACCTAAAATTTTATCCTCGGTCTTTTCAAGTAAATCTTTTAAATAATCTAAACTGAAATTAGTTGTTTCGTGGTCTGTCTCGCATTTTGATAACGATAATGACCCGATATTGTTAGAAAAAGATTTACTCTGACGACAAAAGAGGAAACCAGGAGGCGTGTCGTTTGGAAACTTCGATCGCCATATGCTGTGTAAGTTAGGGAGGTCTTCCATGAAATATTACCGCGAACAATGTTTCAATATTTCAATAAATAGTCGAGGAAATTTTGTTAAATCGATTGTGAAAGCGTGACACTTCCGCACAGCTTATTGTTGTCTCAAAAATGAGGCGTGTCTAAAAATGACGTCAAAAAGGTGTTCCCCCTTGACAAAGGTATCACGTGGTAAGGAATCTCCACCTGAAAATAGAAATATGACGTATTATTGTTCATTTAAGAATTGTCATGAAATGAAATAGCTAGAAAAAAAGAAAGAACGCGAATTGACACGTGCTGGCAGTGATTCAATTGGGACATTAATTGTGAAACACCTGTTTAGATCATTACTCCAGACATGATTAGCTTGAAATTTAATGGATTAATTACAGATTAGCCAATTAATCGGATTAACTCATATGAACTTGATTTAATTAATGTGAAGATAAAAAAAGGACGCGTTTTACCAACGCGTCTTACCCCCCATACTTATAATATACAGTCCCTGTACCCAGTAATTCGCATTATTAAATACCACAATGTTGAGAATTAACAAAACATATGTGGAGATTTGCTGCGTGTATGAAAGAATCTCTTTTTTGTGCAGGCCTATACATAAGGCATATAAAGCATTACACCAAACAATAAGTAGGATTATATATAATCTCAGAGTTTGGCTAAATTTAAGACCAAATCCAAAATTCCTGGGTCGTGGTTTGGTTCAATACCGTAAGCACGATGCGGTATTTAACGAGAAGAAAAAAACAAAAACAAAACAACTGTAGTCTTGAAATTTTTGCTATTAAAATGGTGGTCATTTATATTATAGAATACATTACTCAACAGACCCGCTCGAGACACCCTTCTTAATCTGATTATCTGGTTGGTCAGCATTAACCAATTAGCCTATAATATTGTCTGTTTAACCTGACACACACTACGCGACGACATTGGCGATTTCAGTCGCCAACGATGAAAAAAAAACCCAAAAAAACCCGCCTAGTGTGCGTACTCGGTCGCTAGCGATTTTTCGTCGCCAACGACCATCGCAGCGATGGTCGCTAATATCAGACATGTTTGATATGATCGCCCAAGTCCTCGATTCGTCGGCAAGAAATCGTGTAATGTGCTCACCTATTAAACCAATCATTTGTGGTTATGCTTATCATGTGACATAACCACACACGCGGTTTCTCGGATTTTTTTTTCTTCTGTTGGCTCGGGTAATCTTATTTAGGCCTAACTAACTAATTGAAATTAAGTTTGCAATTCTGGCACTCATTAAATGTGTGAGCCGTCGAATACATAATATGGTATAGGCCCTGTGTAGCGAAAACCCGGAGGGTGACGGTCAATCGCTAGGCTTATCGGTTCATTAATGGTTGTGTCATCTTGGTTGGTAAATTGTTTGGTAATGAAAGGATTAATTATATTTAGGATTCTCTGGAATATTTCTGGACTCATCCTGATGTAGGATGTTTTGTATAAATACAAGAGTCGCCCAGTTTAAGCTCGTTACTTGGAATACTATAAACGCACTGCACTCGACCGGAGTTTTGTAGGCATACTAAGACGGCGACACCGCCGCCTGATCATCATGTACAAAAGAATATCAATTGAAATATTTTGCGCGATCACGACTAAAATTATACACGAAGCACGTGATAAGTCGTCGTGTAGTGTACGTGCTCACTCTACTTATATTCCGGCGATATATTTGTCGCAAACTCGTCGCTTACGTTGTCGCATAGTGTGCGCCAGGCTTAATTAATGTTTTGTCTTCTTATATTTCATATTTTATCATTGTTTGATATAATGATTAGAGAAGTCTAGTCGAAACGTTGCTCAGTAATAGGCAGTATTGTACTCAATAGAATTGTGACTTGTATATTCCAGTTCAATTATCAAATGCCACTGCAACAATACAAGGAACCGAGCCAAAGCGGTTACCCAGTTAAACCGACCGTTTTTCACACTTTTCCTATACCCATATCATAGGAGTATGTGAGTATGTTTAAAGTAAGTTCAGTATCGTGAAATTTGTGTGTTAGATCTTCTATTTTTAGAGGTCCATATGTCCGACATTAAATGTACCTACCAAACCAACGCCCTATATCACCTTATTGTATAACCTTTGTTTGTTATGAGTAAAATATCTCACGTTTTAGTAAGAATAGTTATAGATATCACGTGTCAATCAGCACACGTATTAAATACAGCCAAGTTGATCTCCAACTTCCACTGTAACGCAATATTCATTACTTCTCAATTCACCATTAAATACTGCATCAAATACAAAATACATGGCCTCAGTTAAATGTCTTGTAAATATAGTTATTATAACATTATTTTAAACTCGCTTTCTTTCCGTCCCATGGGCGCAAACCATCTTGTGCAGCATTGTAAACTCCCAAGAGCAGGGCCTATTTCGACGTGCCTCTGGAAAAAAAAATCCGTGCTTTGAAAAAATGCTACGTAGCCTTATGAATCTGGCAAGATTGTATGCGGAAATTTAGCTATCATTATGATCATCGAGCACTTTCGATTTCTGTTTCAAAAGTTTTGTACACACTGATCAGCAATGAATTTTCGCTAGGCCTCTACAATCACTGATAAGGATGACATCGATGCGACTTAATGAGACAGAAATATTAAAGGGCCAATCCCGATAATATTTTGGAGAATAAAACTGCTTAATTTTGTGTTAAAATCCCTTAAAACTGCTTAATTTTGTGTTAAAATCCCTCTAACTTAGGGCCGAGCAACTATCTCAACATATGTGATACGTTTTTAAACAACTTAAACCCGTCAGTCTTCATCTGGAAATGGAGATCGGTGCCCCAAGCTGTATTATGCGGTGTCTGGATGTAACCAGACTTTTATTTTATAAAAATAATGTGTAGGTGAAATTTACCTTTCGTTATCAAGTACAGCACATGGGTCATTCACCAACTGTGCACTTTTGCTTGCTGATTTGTTTCTCTATTCCTACGAAGCCGATTACATACAAGCACTCGTAAAATCAAATAAACGATTAGTCAGACATCTTAATTTCACTTATCGATATATCGATGATGTTCTATCACTGAATAATCCAAAATTTAGTGATTATGTAGAATTCATATATCCTGATGAGCTCGAAATTAAAAACACTACTGACAGTGACAATTACGCTTCCTACTTGGATCTGCGTCTCGATTTTGACAATTGCCATAAACTTAGTGTTTAATTGTACGATAAACGTGATGACTTTGACTTTCCGATTGTTAACTTTCCATTTATTAGTAGTAACATGCCAATATCACCAGCTTATGGAGTGTTTGTGTCTCAACTAATCCGTTACGCGATAGCTTGTTCATTTTATTCTGATTTTTTAAGTAGATCGAGGCATTTGTCATCTAAGCTTCAACTTGCGAACTAAACTTATTAAAACCTTTAAAAAGTTTTATGGGCGTCATATTGACTTGATTGGTAAATATAACATTTCTCTCTCGGCTATTATTCTAGATATATTTAATTGACGCGTATAAAATCTCCCCGATAATGTCTGTCTACTACATCGTTTACACTGTTCATCACGTGCATTTTTCATACCGATAGTCCATTGGCCAATCACGCTATTTTACCGAGATTTCGCCTAATAGTTTGGATGCAGCTATGGCGGGTGTGGCATCAGACAGGGTAAGCTTACTCTTCCGGACACCTGTTACCACTGTTTGTCGTGTATTTTGTACACGGTGAACAGTCCATATGCTGATTACACTATTTTGCCTTATTACACTATTTTGCCTATACCGTTTTTTTAGGACTTCGAATTTTGTCAAATGGTTTGGATTGTTCGTACTTGGTTTTATTTTATTAATTATATAGACCTCTGACGGAACGGGAATCGATTAACAGGTCATCCAATGAAAAAATTTACCCGAAATCTTAAAAGGGTTACGTGTCCAGATAAGCAGTTTCGACGTTAATGTGACTTGATGATCAGGATTCCTTCATTCCCGCGTAATTTTTATTCCGCTGTAAAAATTAGAACTACCGAAAAATCCACAACGAAAAGAAGAAATGACATGTGCTGATAATACGAGAAGGCTTTTTAAAGACATGTCTTCCATTAACTTAAACATACATTATGCAAGAGCTAAATCTGCCTATTGCAGATCTTTCTTTGGGCCTAGGAAATGTTATCTAAATTATTAAAGATACATTATGTACGATTTAGATACAGAGCTAGCCATTCTTGCTATAATAGTTCGAAAATAGATCATGTAAAATGAATAATTTGAAAATTTCATTTAAATTACTCTATCTTCAGAGAAGATATTAGCCTTTTAAGGTTTGACAAGACATGTGCAATTATTTCAACCACCGTACTGGTTCTTCGAAGCTAAGTCTCGCTCCTCCATTTTTAGATTAAATCAAAATATGTCTGAACCGTTCTAATCTATTTAATATCGGAGAAATCCGATGCCATCGAGAGATGATTATGGCCTGGATCGGTTAATTAATGTCTAATTAATAATTTAGAAAACATTTCAGACCTAAAGAAAGACCTGCAATAGGCAGATTTTGCCCTTTCATAATGTATGTTTAATAAGACATTAATTAACTTATCCACACCATAATCAACTCTCGATGTCAACGCCAGCTAGTCCGCGATATTTACTGGATTAGGATCTCATTTGCTGCTCAACTTTCATTCGTGATTTAATCATGAAATGGATAATCGAGACTATGTTTTTTATCGTACCGACTTTAGTAATGATGATCGAGGCTAGGCCGAAAATTCAATCGCTAAAATCTCGGTTCACAGTGGATCAATTTGACTGAAATTTGCTGAAAGTTCCCTTTACATTATCCAGTTTTTAACTCTTATAGCGAGAACTGTCATCTCTTTATCTAATCTCCCAAAATTTATCTTCAAATATACATTATGCAAGAGATAAATCTTCCTATTGTAGGTCTTTCTTTAGGCCTGAAATGTTATATAAACTATTAATTAGACATTTATTAACAAAACAAGACCATAATCAACCTTCGATGGCATTGGATACTCGAGATTTTAACTAGATTAGAACGGTTCGCCATTTAAAAATTTAATTTAAAAATTTAATTTAAAAATGGGAAAGCGAGGCTAAGTCTCGAATATAACAGTGCCCTGTTTACCACAATGCACACATCTTGTCATAACTACAAACAGTGAT